AAATGTTTATAAATATGAAAACAAACATGTTAGAAAAAGAATTTCTCAAATTGAATTTCCATTTGTGAAAACTCATGTATTTTGCAAGTATGTCCAAAACATGAAAAACCCAAAACTATGCATGTATATATATAACTATATATATACATAGAAACCAACTATGTGTGTGTATATGATATTGAGCTTAGAGTATCTAACACACATAATATAAAACCTAAACTAAATAGAAAACAAACATGTTAGAAAAAGAATTTCTCAAATTGAAATTTTTATTTGTGAAAACTCATGTATTTTGCAAGTGTGTCCAAAGCATGAAAACTCAAAACCATGCATGTATATATATAACTATATATATACATAGAAACCAACTATGTGTGTGTATATGATATTGAGCTTAGAGTATCTAACACACATAATATAAAACCTAAACTAAATATACCAAAGCTTGATCTTAATCTTCAATAGGCTTGACTTGATATATTTGCGGATGAAGCTTGAACTTGATCTTTAACTTTGAATTGCAAGGCTGCTTGGTAGTGAGGTGGCATATTATCCTCCACTCATTCAAATGGGGGGACCACATTCACATGGGTTGAATGTGGTCCCCCCAATTGAATGAGTGGATGAGAATGAGACACCTCACTACCAAGCACAAAATTTGTGCTTGGTAGTGAGGTGGCATATTATCCTCCACTCATTCAAATGGGGGGACCACATTCACATGGGTTGAATGTGGTCCCCCCAATTGAATGAGTGGATGAGAATGAGACACCTCACTACCAAGCACAAAATTTGTGCTTGGTACCAAGTATACCCATTTTTCTCATATATATATATGATTGCTCCCCCTATCAAAAAGCCATATAGAATATATGCGATGAAGATCATGGCAAAACATATGTGAGCAAGCATACATGAATATGCTAAAAATTTTCTCACATACATGAAGATAATGAGAACATATATAAATATATCAAGATGAACATATTGTCTCATATCATAAAAGCCAATGTATAAAATAGATTTATGAAATCAAAAGAAGAGAAATATGAGAATCATGTAAAAAGTTTTCAAATGAAAACAAGTCAACCAATTGAAATCATAAATCAAAGTTTATATCCAAAAACGATGTTTTTTTCTTTACATAACTTGATCAAACCACTCATAGAATACATTATAAAGCACGAATAGATGATCCATTAGCACAAACACATAAATATCATCATATAAGTGAATTATAATGAATTCAAAAGCAACAAATCAAAACAAAATTTTTAAGAGAGGCAACAATTATATCAAGCTCTTGAGCTTGTTCCAACCCATATAATCATTTTAGCATCCGGTAAACTTGATTTGGGAATAAACACCCGATGAACCCGGAGGGTTATATAAGTACAAACCTCTCATCAAAACAAAACAAATAATCATGAAAACATAAGATTTTATCAATTATAAATTTATTTTCATAATCAAAATATTTTAAGACATAATTTTAAAACCAAGAAAGGAAAAAGTAAGAACACTAAAATTCTTGGTTTAAAGTTTAAATTTGTTTTGGTACCCAAGAACTCTTGGTACCAAAAGATTTAGGGACATGACCCCTATCATTAAAGCTCAAAGCCTTAGGGTTATGAACCCTCTTAGGCACATATGGTGCACTAACATGGTCAAAACAATATTCATTCAAATGACCCTTCCTATTGCAATTTGTGCAATGAAAGAGATCCATTTGTTTTTGTGGACCATTAGCTCGTGCACGGGAATCATTTGCAAATAAAGATTTTCTTTTAAAATTATTTTGCAAATGAGAAACATTCTTAAACAATGGTTTATTTGGAACATATTGTAATTTAGAAGCTTTTTGTATATCAAAACAAAATTTAGCAAGATGTTCAAACTTACCAACAAATTTTAGCAAGATGTTCAAACCTACCACAAACATCACATTTAAAAACATGTGGTCTATTGGAAGCATTTGTCAAATGAGATTTTCTTTTCAAATCAAAGCAATATTTGGCCAAATGACCAAAACGACCACAATAATCACACTTGAACACACTAGCATGCTTATGATGAACTTTGTGAGAATGAGCATGTGAATGTGTAAGTGAACAAGATGAAGAAGCTATATGAGATGCACAAGGAACATTAGAATTCTTATGTTTGTGTGCATCATAACAAAACTTAGCTAAATGACCTTGACGGCCGCAAATAGAACACTTATAAGTTTTGCTATACATGTGTGCATAATGAGTAGATGATTTTGATTTAGTCTTGGCACACATGTCCATAAGCCTCTTATGATTATTAATGCATATTTTCAAAGTTGAATCTAAAGATGAAATACTATTTTTCATAAGATTCAAATCTTCATTTTTAGGCACATATGCATTTTTAGAAGTAGAACATAAATAGTTATTTATAAAAGAAGCTGTATCATTCTTTATGTTCTCTACTTCTAACATGGCATCAATCTTAGCATGAGATAAGCTAGAAATGGATGATGATAATTTCTCATTTTCCAATTTTAACATATCATTACTTTCTTTAAGAGCAACATTTTCTTTGGAAATGATATCAAAATTGGAAGCTAGCTTCTCATGATCGGATATAAGTTCTACATGCTTGCTTTGTAAATTAATGAAATCATTTTGCAATTTGTTAAAGGCATGTAATAATTTTTCACTAGCACAAGCAAGTTCATCACTAGATAAATCATTATCGGGTTCGAACTCGCAAACCTCACTAGGGCTATCGCCTAGTGCACGTGTGCATGACGCTCCACATGAACTTGAAGCCGGATCCGCCAAAGCTTGTTGGATCGCCTCCAAGTCCCCTTGATGTGCTTCTATAAATTTCCAAAGTTTGTAAGCACTATCAAAATGAACAAACTTGTTAGACATAGATGAATTAAAAGCATTTAGCAAATATTCTAACAAAATATTGTTCATTGTAAACATACGATGATCATTCTTATTCCACTTAGATTTCTCCAAAGTGGGCACAATATAAGCATCATCTATAATTTCCCATAAATCAAAGTGTTTAGATTGAACAAAAAGTTTAAATCTAACACACCATTGGGCATAGGGGAAATTATCTAATCTAGGAGCAATATTGATGGCATAACCTAAACCATGCATATCCATAATATAAAAGGCAAGCAAGATACAAATAAAGCTCAAAATTAGATTAGCACAATAAGCTAACTTGGATCTTTAACTCAAGGCGATTAGACCTTAAATCAAAGAGCACCAAGCTCTGATACCAATTGTTAGACCCTAGAGGGGGGGTGATTAGGGTCTTATGCTAATCTAATCCGATTAAATGCCAATTAAAATTAATTAACAAGTTGTATTCTTGCAAGATAGATATACAAGAGTTATAAACAAGAATAAGCAATATACACAAAGTGATATATCCTATATGATGAAATATATATGAGTATATGAGCAAGGATATATAAACTCAAGGGTAAACAATCTAAACTAGATAGTGGATGATATAGATAATGAGCTAATGACAATGGCGATATAAGATATGAACATAAATATGAATGAACGCCAAAGCACACTCAAACAAGCAATATGATCACGGAGTTCGGACCTTCCGTCCTACGTCTCCGCTCCCCACTCCCGGGGAGAAATCCACTAACACAATCCGGTTTGGAAGCCGGAACTTCTTCTACACACTCGGTTTTCTAGCTAACCGAAAACTCTACAACTCACACTCTTGCAATCACACTCTACACCCACTAAGTGTTGGACCTAGCCGTGTCTCCCTCAAGTGCTCGGTTACAACCTCTCCCTAGGCACGTCAACCGACGCCACTCCTCTTGGGACGATCCCCGACTCTCACCACACACTCCTCACTCGGTGTACAAGTGTATTACAAAGTGAATCTCACAATAAGCACAATATAACAAATGATTGTTCTCTCTAACAAGATGAGAACTCAATTAAGCTCACTCTCAATGTCACAAACCCACAACCCTAAATTATACTATGAATGTAAATACAATAAGCTCAAAAGGTTGTGTGTGAACAAAGAGATATAAATCAAAACTAAACTCAATGTAGTTCTAGCTTAATAACAATGATAATCAAATATATAAAAAAGCTAGAAATAGAGTTTAGAAAACTTCTCAATATATCAAGAGTTGGAGGGAGAATTGAGAGAAATAAATGTTTGAACACAGATATACAGTTTCTGAAAATCTGCTGACATACATGATTTTGTAAAATCAATTGGACACAGTAAATCAACTCCAAAAATAGTAAAATTTTTAGGAAAGTTTCTAAACATGTAGATAAATATTTAAAAGAAAGAATTTCTTAAATATCACTTCCCATTTGTGAAAACTCATCTGTTTTGTAAAAACATGCACGAACATGCACGAACGAAAAACATGATTTTGTAAATTCCATTAAACATAACAAATCAATTCCAAACTTGATGAAACTTTGAGAAATGTTTGTAAACATCTTGATAAAACTTTGCGAAATGTTTATAAATATGAAAACAAACATGTTAGAAAAAGAATTTATCAAATTGAATTTCCATTTGTGAAAACTCATGTATTTTGCAAGTATGTCCAAAACATGAAAACCCAAAACCATGCATGTATATATATAACTATATATATACATAGAGAGCTTAACGTACTTAACACACATAATATAAATCCTAAACTACATTACTCAAGCAATCTTGATCTTCAATTAAGCTTGACTTGGTACACTTGCGGATGAAGCTTGAACTTGATCTTTAACTTTGAATTGCATAGGCTTCACCGACATTCCGCCAACCTCCTTTGGATATGATCGTTGAAGCGCAATCCATCCATCCTCCAACAACGTTGTTTGTCTACAAAATATAGGAATGCACAAACACTAGACAAACAACATTAGTAGTAAATTATTTGTAAATCATCATCAAAACAAGAAAGCCAACACCATAGAGGCGAATTTCAAATAATTTGTCTTTATGTTGATGATTTATTGTACACAGGAAGCAGTACCGAGATGCTTGCTGAATTCAAGGCGGCAATGTTCAATGAATTTGAGATGACAGACAATGGATTAATGTCCTATTTTCTTGGCATTGAAGTGAAGCAGCAACAAGAGGGGATTTTTATATCCCAGAAGAAGTACATGAAGGAGATCTTAGAGAAGTTCAAGATGAATGAATGTAACCCTGTTAACACCCCAGTAGCCATCGGAATGAAGCTATCAAGAGAAGGAGACGGACGTTTCGTGGATTCAACTCTTTTCAAAAGTCTAGTTGGCAGCCTGAGATACTTGACGATCACAAGGCCCGATATTACTTATGGAGTTGGACTTGTGAGTCGCTATATGGAGACACCGAATGAATCTCACTGGCTAGCTGCGAAGAGGATACTAAGGTATATCAAAGGCACACTCAGCCTGGGTCTCTTCTATGCATATGATGAAAATGCACAACTAGTTTGTTACTCAGATAGTGACTGGGGAGGTGATCAAGATGAGAGAAAAAGCACCACAGGCTATGTTTTCTATCTTGGGTCAACTGCATTTTCATGGACCTCAAAGAAGCAAGGAGTTGTAGCTTTATCTTCATGTGAAGCAGAATATGTGGCGGCTGCATCTACAGTATGTGAAGCAATTTGGTTGCGGAACATATTAAAGGAGTTGGATCATCCACAAGAAGACTCGACCGTAATTTTTGTGGACAACAAATCATCCATCCATCTTGCAAAGAACCCAGTACATCATGGGAGGAGCAAACACATAGATACACGGTTTCATTTTCTCAGAGACCATGTAAAGCAGAAAACCGTTGAACTGAAGCATTGTCACACCACTGAACAAGTGGCAGACATATACACCAAGCCATTATCAGGTGAAACTTTCATGAGGCTAAGAGACATGCTTGGCATAAAGACATTTTGATTTGAAGGGGCGTGTTGGAATATCAAATTAAAATGCTAGAATAAATGAGTTTTAGAAGTGCAAGGGTCATAAGTTTAGAAGGTGAAGAGACATAGGTTATGGAAGAATAAGAGTAACTTACTCATTTATGACATTTATCTTTATGGCATTAAAATAGGAGTTTAATTTGTGACTATTGGTATGCCTAGACGTTTTTGTTTTTGAAGCCTATATAAAGGGCTATTGTAATCCTTGTTTGATATGAAGAGAGAAAATTGAAGAAATATAAGTGAGTTCTTCATTTGAAAGAGTTCTAAGTTCGTAAACTTAAGAGTCATCAAAAAGTAGCTCGATTGCAACATTGATAGGTGTGAAAATAATCCCTACATGGAGTTATATGGAAAGATTCACCAGAATCTAAATCCACTCATGCATGGTACCTGAGTTCTCATCAATAGATAAAACTTCACCATCTATTGTAGAAGTCCCACTTTCTGCAAGATTTTCTTGATATTCTGAGGATTCAGCCTTTTGATCACTCTGCTTATCTGCCTTTGACAATTTACAACCTTTTCGAAGATGACCAATTTTGTTGCATTTCCAATACTTTGCTTTGGTTTGCCATATTGATTTGGATCTGTTTTTACCTCAACTTCTACTGCCTCTATCTATCGATTTACCCCTTGCCATCATTACATCGCCTGAAGATCTCATAGTTGAATTTCTTTTAGATTCTTTAGTTAATAATGACGACACAACCGAATCAAAACTGAGAGATGAATTGTAGCTAAGGCTCATGATTAAGCTATCCCATGAGTCTGGCATCGAGCAAAGCAACAAGATAGCCTTTTCTTCATCGTCTATCTTTACTTCAATGCTCGTGAGCTTGTTGACTAGAGTGTTAAACTCATTCCTATGTTGATGCAACAACGATCCTTCTTTCATCCTCAAATTGTATAATTTTCAATGCAGAAAAGTCTTGTTCGACAAAGATTTGCCTTAGAATATATGTGCAACTTCTTCCAAACCCCTTTTCTGTAGTATCAGATGAAATATTAAAGAGGACGAAGTCATCCAATACCAGTATGAGATTTGCCTTTGCTATCTAGTCCTTCACCTTGAAGTCTTATTGTTTCATCTCAGATGGCTTTCCCTCAATCGCAATCAAGCAACCATCCTTCAGTAGCGTCGCATCCATCTTCAGCTTCCATATTGTGAAGTTAGTATCAATAAACTTTGGGATCTTGAACTTAGTTTGAATTGCTTCCAAATATTTTGTATGACCTGTTACTTTTCTGCACAATCCAAACTAATATCTCTGGTACCAATTGTTAGAAATCTATATCATGTTGCAAATGAAAAGTAAACAACAACAAAGAAAAAAAGCACAAGCACAAGACATTAATTTTAACTTGGTTTGGCAAATTGCCTACATTTACAAGGCACATATCTCTAGTTCTTTCTCATAATCAAAGAGACAGTACAAGTACAATAGAGCCAAGAATAAAACAACAACAGTTAGAAAGGTAGTACCTGAAATGATGCTTTTTACAAGATTGGGGGAGGAACACAATGAATTGTTCTATTGTGAACGTCCCCAAACAATAGACTTTCTCACAACTCTTGCACCGAATGCAAAACTGCATAGTTGCTCTCCAACTCTCGCTCTCTTTCTCTTTAATTTCTTGCACTGTGTAATTCTCATAGCAAGCCTCACTATTTATAGCTTCTTCCTTCTTGGCCTCCAAGAAAATGAATAAATGTCCACCGTAGGATTAATTGATTTGTCCAACAGGTAAATCCCTTAATTTACTCATTGCCATAATTATTTTACTTCTAAGAACTAGTAGAATCTTCAATCAATCTCTCAATATATGTTGCCATATATTTAGGCAAACTAATAAGGCATGTACTCAATTACCAGCACAAGAAACTGTTCTTTTATCCTATAGGGGAAGATAAACTTTTTATTATTTGTTAATATTGTTTGTGTATGTTTTATTTCTTTTGTTGTAGGATAAGATGCATGTGCCTAATGCATAAAACTAAATTTCACACACCAGAAAACTTACATCTTATACTTTGACATTCTTTTGACTTCATTTACACATGTTACTATTTTCCCTGAAAGATTTCATTTGTATTCTTAATATAATGGATGTGTAATTATATGCACTCTAATACTACGTCACGGTACTGTATAGCATGTAATATTCTAGAGAGAGAGAGAGAGAGTTTTGCATGATATGGTATATTCTAGAAAGTTATTCTAGAAAGTAAAAAAGAAAGAAAAAGGAAGAAAGTTGTCCCTTGTTATACAAATTATATTACAAATGAGAACATGTCTACAACTGATACAAATTTTAGATTACCCCCATTTGGTTTTTTATATAGCAGTATAGAATTATCTTTAGTAGATTTCTATTTGTCAAAAATACATAGTTGATTCGGTTATAATGTGACATCTTTAAATTTGCAGAAACTGTCCGTTTATCATATAGGGGAAGATAAAATTTTTTTTCATCTGTTAACATTCTTTGTATAAGTTTCATTTATTTTGTTGTAGAATAGGATGCATGTGCTTAATGCACAAAACTTATAATTTGCACACAAAGAACTTATATCTTGTACTTTGACATTCTTTGACTTCATTTACACATGTTACTATCTTTCCTAAAAGAAACATAAATTTCATTGGTATTCCTTTTAGAACCTAATATGTAATTATATGAGTTTGTACTACATGGAATATTCTATTTGGGGGGATCAGGGGTTTGGAGGGTGTAAATATTTGCATAAATGAAATATTCTAGAAAATAAAAAAATAAAAAAAAAGAGAAAAAGAATGATAAAAAAGAAAGAGAAAGATAAAGTTGCCCCTTGTTAATTTGCCTTTTTGTCCTAACAATTATATTACAACTGAGATTATGTTCATCACTCATACAAATTTTAGATTGTCCTCAGTTGGTTTTTTATATAGTAGGATAGATGTATTTGGGTGTATTTGCCTTTCTATGATGAGAATATAATATTTGTTTTGTACTGCATTTCATTAAGAGGAATCAATTGTTTGAGTGCTCTGTAGTGTGATATATTCTCTTTGAATACAATATTTATATATTAAGAAAAGCTCCTCTTTTAATTTGTAGCTTACTATTTCTAAATTCTAGAAATGACCTTTACACTTGGAGGAAACTATGGGAATACCCTTGTAATTGAAAAAATTAAGTGAAATAGTCTCTCACTTGAAATAAACAACAAAAATACTATAACACTTGAGAAAACTTATGGAAATATTCTACACTTTGAAAAATCAACCGAAACATCTTCAAATTCGGAAAAATCCAATAAAAACCTAACAAATCGCCTTTTTTCATGCATGCATTGTGAACTCCACGAAAATAGTTAGAATGTGGTGAATCAAGAAAATTTCTGTGTGGTAGACAACAAGTGTCTATTTACCTAAAAATAAAAATATTATATTATACATTGTGGGGCAGACAACAAGTATCTATATACCTACTTTCCCTTAAAGTCTTAGTGAACCCTCAACTTCCTCTCTAAACTATCAATTTGCTTATTTCCTCCTTAAACTATGTGTATATTGATCGTTTTGTGAACTTGCAGTTAAATATTTAACCGATTAACGATGTGACCTTTTATTTTTTATATTTTAAGTATTTTTAATGGTTTAAATAATAATTTTTCATTTTTAGAAAGGGTTAAAGGGTAGAAACTTTTGGAAAAAAGACTAATAACATGCCATGAAAAAATGCAAAGAAATAATATAATGTCATTGATCTGTTATATATTTGACTATGGGCTCACAAAATGATCACACTAATATTAACATACATAATTTAAGGGGCAAAATAGTTAGATTGATACATTATGGGGGAATTTGCGAGTTCACTAATATATATATTTTTCATATTATAAAACCATAGTACATGACGGGGAATGGTCTTAGTACATTTTCTTACTAGAAATTTAAGAGGGCTTTTACTTTCTAGTAGAGATTAATTTAAATTGCTACTAAATTCTTTAGGTACCGTTTGGTTAAGGGTTAAGTGAGAGGTTAATGAGACTTAACCCCTTCTTAACCAGCCAAACACAAAAAAAAATATACAAGGGTTAAAGTGAGTTAACCCTCTATAATTTGCAAACATAAAAAATATAGAGGGTTAAGCTGACCCCTCTAGAGGGATTAAAATGAGTTAAGCCCTCAAAATGAGGGGTTTGCTAATACTCCTATTTAGAATGATTAAGAGTTAACTCTTCTAATTATAAAGAAAATAGTCAAAATCATTGTTATTCCCAAACACTAAAACTGATCACAATTGCTAAAATAAAACTTATTTAACATGTTAATAATTTAGTTCTTCAGATTATCTAATGGGCTAAGTACATTAATCCTTCTATTTAACCCATCTTCATTAAGTTTTATATATGTACGGGTGCTGCGCGGCAAATGTGAAGGGTTAACATGCCTTTCGTATGCAAATTATAAATTGCTTAGCGGTGCAACTAGGCAAGGGATCCGCCTCTGCACGGGTCAGGGTCACTTAGATCATAATTAGGACGGGTCAGGTCATCCGAGCGGCTTTACTCATATTAATTTCAGAGCGTGTTAATTACGAGATACTCGGAAGTTGAAGCCAACCCATGTTATTCAGAGTTTCAGAATCTTATGGGCGAGATGACGTGATTGCATCAACGTATAGCACAATGTGTCGAGATCGGCTAATGCGGTGTCTGGATACGATGGACGGCTCTTAACCATGAGATAGCGCTGTATACTTTAGGCTAGCTACGTACAGGCCACACATTAGACTAGAAATTAATTAGAACCACATCCCCTTCGATGTATATCAAGCCTCCCCTCCTCCTATCGACATATCCCGGCCCATCGCTTTCAAAATAGTTGTAGTGCATCAATGATTCGACGGTAGACAAGGAACATGGAATATATATATATATGGAGTCTTTAAGCTTTAGTACCCTCAATCATACAGTGCTTA